AGTGCTTTCCAACTACGTACACAGGCGACACTGTGTAACACTGTGTCCACTAGTGTGAGTGAGACACACTGATATGCTCTTTCTCACACTAATGGACACTGTGTTACACAGTGTCGCCTGTGTACGTAGTTGGAAAGCACCCTTAATTAAAAAAAAAAAAAAAAAAAAAAAAAAAAAAAAAAAAAAATCCTGACAATATAAATCTTCAATTTATCTCCCGGAGATATGAGACTTTCTGTGAAAAACAATCTATTCTTTTCTCTTGTTGATTATATTAGACTTGATAAACGAAGATAAAGACAACCAAATTCGTCGTAGAATTGTGACACTTGCAACGTTACGCCGGTGACAATTAGCGCCAAAGCATCTACCTGCATAACGAAGCAAGAAAGATCTTTAAGAAATTAGCTCACGAATTAATTTTAATCCGTGATCTAATTGAATTCGTCGAATTTGATGGAGATGCGACCATTTCTTTCGAGCGATTATCGAGATAGAGATACAGCGTGTTTTTATCTGGAAAAGTGATATGAGAATATTTCCTGACTCTCACGTAAGACGTAGCTTCATGTTAGTCATGCCGACCGATATCTGACCGTAGATATCTGTTCGTCTTATTGAATACGTTTCTTGCTTTTGTTTGGATTTCTCTCCTAATCCTAACATTTATATTTCTTAATATTTTTTCTTCAACACGCGTCTTTGAAATTAGAAAATTTCAAGAAGACAAACGAGATACGTCTCTCGGATAATTTACATTTTTTCAGAATGTACTTCGTAAACAAATGGTTTTTTAATTTACGAATTGTCGCGTAAATATAAAAAAAAAAAAACACTTTTTACAAAATAAGGTAGAAAGTAAACCGCACGCCGAAATGAAACGCATTTTAAAATTTTTTCTCTAAAGAGATTTGCGCGTCGTAATAATAACGTAATATCTAACCGTCGACATCACGAGCACAATCTATAACAAACACACACAGGTCGCTTAAATGCTGTTCCCTTTCGTATTTGCCGTTCTGCGAACGTGAGTGCGCGAGTCGAATCAAAAAGTGGCGTAGTAGTCGCACGATGACACGATTGCCCGTCTAATCTAATCTGGACCACATGGACCACTAATTGCGTTCGCCGTGTGTTATCAGTGTTGTTTCTGCGTAATCGAGATATAGATCGAAACGCCGAAACGAAAACGATCACCGAGCTTGACGATTTTTATCAGAGAGCCGCGAGACTTTGACCTAATCCGTACCGGATGGACCAGTCACGCTGACATCATCGTACAAACATGGGTGAGGACTTGGAGGAGCAAACAAGAGCGATCTAATCGCGAGCGCACGTCGTCACTTATCGGGAACGGGGAGTTTTACGGAGCGAAGAAGCTATCGACACAAGCGCGTTGCAGCATCACCACTTTATATATATATATGTATATCTCTCTCAAGGACTCGCCGGTGAAAAAATTTGTTGCATTCGCATTTACAGACGATAAGGTGGTCACACACACTCGATAACTTTTCAGATATATTTTCCTCGAATTTTCTTCATAACTTTATACGTTATATTTTATTTTAAAATGTAGATAGTATATATAGCACATAAATCTTGCGATTATAAATTTTGTACCTGTGAAGTTAGATATCTACTTCTCATCACAAACCTGTTTTCTTATCTCGAATATTTAATGGATACGATACCTTCTCACACACAGAAGAAATAATTGTCGTCATTTATTTTCTCGTAATTGTATTATAATGCGTTACGTTTTTCTTCGAATTCACGATTTTTCTTCCCGTTTGTTTCCCGCACATTTATCTTGTAATCTCTTCCTCTTCTCTAATGATTTTTTAATTCTTCTTTGAAAATCCTTTGGAGATGTTTTTTTAATGTTACGAGATCACAAGATCGCACACATACTTCACAGACCTGTGAAGAAGAATTTTTGTCCAGTTTTTATTCCGTTTAATATATTCTCGCGTTTATCAGACATTTCCCCCCTTGGTCTTCTTCTTTTTCATTATTTTACTTTCTTGTTTTGTTGAGAAAAATGTGTTTTAATTTTTCTTAAATAATTTATCTTTTCTAAGAATTTGACGTACGTGCAATTGACTCGAAGCTGTTGCTCGGCTGTCAAGATAACTAATTTAACTTACCTACCTTTTAAGTTTTACTTCTGCCACACCCTTCTTGTACGTTAGAAAGGTCAAAGCACCCTCTTTTCGGATAGAACGGAAGAAGAAGACGGTTAAAAATCAACCGCGTCTTCTTCACCACCCGTTTTTGCGTTGGTCCGATATGACTTCCAATAGATTCGGACGCGAACAATGAAGAAAAGGGTTGCCTCTTCGGCAGGCTCTGCAGCATCTGGTCATCGGGTCAATCTTTTGCGCTTGCGCACAGTCATCGTGACTAAGATCCAGGTATCGAGAATTAGCATAGGCTAGTATTCCTCTAGATCCGTTTAAACGGTGTTACTACTTTAAACTTTTACTACTGTTTGGTCAAAACCTTTCTGCATTTCATATCTCATTTTCGTATCTAGGGACATAGAATTCTGCGACCGTCTTTAAGACCTTTTTTTATCATGCTGCAAGTATGCTAAATATTTTTATCTCTTAGTCGAGGTAGATATATCGTTATAGTCTAGTTCTATTTTGCTTTAACAAAATATAATAGAGATATAGTGGACGGTTCTCTAAGTGGTTCTCTCTTGAGAGAAAAGATAGTAAAAAAAATTTTGTCTCGATAATTTTTTAGATATAATTGTATATACATTTTTGAATTTTTCGACCAATATTAAATATTTACAGAATAATTTACGTATAAAAGAATCGGATATAATTATTTTCTCTTAAATTCTTCTATTACCGCGCTGAAATTAGTTCAAATTATTGCAAATCATTGTGTGTAATTAAGTACAGAATATATTTGTACTGAAATAAAAAAGAAATAGATATTTGTACTAAAATAAAAAAGAAATAGATAATCGCGTAAAATGTCGTTTTGCAGCTTGTTTAAAAAAATTATCTTATTAATATTTTTTCGCGAAAGCGTCTTATAATTATTAAATTACAATTGTAGTACCAAGTACATTTTTGACGTGCTTCTTACGAGAAGTTCACATGTTGCTTTATTTTATCGTGACACATTTTCAAGCTATCAAGGTTTCTGCTCGAAGTACTTCACGGGCGCAACTTTATCAAAATCGTAAATTGCGCATCGGCCGGCCGGTTGTCCTCTACGTCTTGGCGAAACTGACGCATATAATGCATATTATCTATGAACCTGCTCGGTCATCCATCCAATGATGTTGACCTTGCGCCTTTATCGGCGAAACTGCTTGCGAACGGTTTTTAACAATTTGAATAACGTGTGAGACGTAATAGGTTTTTTTTCTAACTACGATCTTCAATTTAGAAAAAAACTGTCTGCTTTTAAACTAAACTGTCTAGTTTTACTACTTCGTCTTATCTCGATTACGCATTTCTATTTAGAATCGATCTGATTGTGCAATGCACTGAGAAAATTTCATTAACAATTTCATTAACTGTCTGATACATAGAAAGAGAGAGAGAGAGAGAGAGAGAGAGAGAGAGAGAGAGAGANAGAGAGAGAGAGAGAGAGAGAGAGAGAGAAAGAGAGAGAGAGAGAGAGAGAGAGAGAGAGAGAGAAAGAGAGAGAGAGAAACTGGTTCAGAGATAAGACTAAAATCAGGTGAGAATCGATGAGTAGTCGAGGCGAGCACGGGCTCGCTCATCGCCTCCACCGGGGGAAGCATCACGTCGTCATCAGACGCGAAGCACGTAGATGGCAAAGAGGCGATCTATCGAGAGGGGTGGTCGCAGTAGTGTGGGTGGCAAATGCGTCGGCTCAGCCGACTCAGCCTGAGTTTTGTTCATGTAGTTGTGAGATACATCGGCGCGAACAGAAGCAGAGAGGGGGATCACAGAGAGTAAGCGTGTCAAAGTGGGAGAAGAGAAGTCAGGAAAGGAGACGAGAGCGAGTGAGGAGAAAGGGGCGAGAAGGTTTCCTCCGGTGAAAAACGTACTTGTGGACATAGGCGTCCGTAACGGGGGGCGCGTGCAAACGTGTCTTGATTTATTGAAGACGTCTGGCAGAAAAAGAAGAAAAAAAAACCATATGTATATATTTGAGAAAGAGAAAAAATGAAGAACAATAATGTACAATAATTAAATAAGTTCTCAATGGCAAAATAAGTCATCAGTACGTAAAACCAATTTTTTTTCGAGCATGTAATATTCTTTTTTTATATAAATTTTTTTAAAGTAAATTCTGTAACAAGTTCTTTTGAGTACAAAATATCTCGAACATATGCAAAACAGGTGATACGTGTCACGTAAATCTTCAAGTGCTGTAATTGCCGAAGTAATTTAGTTATAAATCTTGGCACGAAATGCCGAAGATCCGACTTCTGTGACCGAGGTGTTACTTTTCGCAACGCATAAAAAAATCCAGATCTTCAAAGGAATATTGTCATTGAAATAGTAGCATTTATATACTTAAGCATTGAGAGAAATTTGGACTCGTAATGAGAAAATTAGCATTCGTGTATTAAATTCGATTAGTTGCCAGAAAAAATGTATGTAATACACTCGAATACATCGCGCGATCATCTAGCATTGGGTTCACGTATCTTATCTATTTTTGTTTTAAAAATAAAACAATTTTCACTATGCGATCAAGATCAGATAATGTAGATAAATCATCACTTATATATTTGTTTTGCATATTTTAAAATTTTATTTTCTCTTTTAATTAGAGTAGAACACATACAGAGTTAAATACACTTGATACACACAGAGATAACGTATCTCTCTGTCTCTCTCTCTCTTTCTCTCTCTCACGTATCAGTTACTACATTACAAAATCCAGAAGTTTGTATAAAGAAATCGACAAATACTCTCCGGCTCGAAGATTTCGAAGAAGGCGAGAGAAAAAAGAAAAGAAATATGACGACGATGAACACAATTTCTTCCCGCAGACGCCCATGTATCCACGTAGATGGCCATTTGGTGGGACAGGTTGCGAGGGTGCGGGCAGGGGATATCTCTGTTGGCAAGTGGGGATGACCGCAAGGAGAGCCAGCAGAAGAGGTGAGCGAGGTGTACGAGTAGATGCGCGCGCGCGGCGAGGGGACAAGCGGACCAATCGGAGGGAAGGGATGATGGAGCTTCAGCGCAGGCTGAGAGAAATTGTCAGGCACTGTTACGCGGCGAGTCGGCCCGTCCTGAGTCATTCTCATGGATCTCGGCTCGTCTTTTGCTCTCGTACCCTGTCCCGCCTCTTCCCCCGCAGCGAGCACATCGCATCCCTCGCTCTCTCACCCTCTCACGATTCTCCCCCTCCATCTCGCCGCCTACGTAGTCGCCGTCTTCTGAAAATCGGTTTCTCTCGTTTCGGGATCGCGGTCTCAGACGTCGAGGTAACTGCGGCGGGAGCAGAGGTAAACCGCGCGACTCTTGTGCTTTAGTGCGCCGCTGAATGTCGAAGCTTAGTGACGAACGGAATCGAGATAAGGTGACGAGAGGACATCTTCGTTTTGAGTTTACAATCGATCATCGTCGTGTCTTGTCTGTGCGAAGAATCGATAGTGATCCATTCATCAGTAGTGCGGCTGACATCCTGCCGGATTCTGCTCGAGACACTGTGGGATTCTCGCGGGATCACTTGTTGTTGGAATCATTCGGACGGTGCATTTCCGCCGAATCGACGCTTCCGTACTCGCGATTGCGTGGACCTGAGTGCAATCAGTTGCTTGGATGCTATATCGAATCTTTTCTCCGGAGGAGTAATCGCGAGTCGTCCGCGGCTGGTCGAGCATCATGGATTACTCGAAAAAAGGTATGTCTTTTAACAAATTGTTGTGCCAGTTTCGGTCTCTCTCTCTCTCTCTCTTTCTCTCTCTCTCGCGTAGACACAGATGTTTCGCAAATATATAGAAGCGATCTCGCATGATCTTCGTATTTGGATGTTTTTTTGAATGATTGTATATATATTTGTACAACAGAGTGCGCGCGCGTAACTTTTTTCGCGAAGGATTCTGCAAAACGCGTGTAATCACGCGTCGTGTTGAAAGATGATGGAAAATATTCGACGTTCCACCTGCTGTACAAACGCGCTAAAAACATTTTTATTTTTCGGCCACTTTTTGTTTCACTTCCGAAGAAAAGGAAATGACATATTCCGGGGACACGTGAGCGTGTTGGTTGTGTGTGTGTGTATGTATGTGTGTGTGTATGTGGTGTGTGCGTGCGTGCATGTGTGTGTGTGTGTGTGTCACGTGAAATTTTCTATAATATTTAAACATTGTGTCAGCCAACACTCACCTGCTCCGTTCATGGTCAATCTCTGAGAGAGTGAGCTGCGTTCTCGAGATTCTGTGTAAAGCTCACACCGAGATAACGAATGAGATTGTATCAGTTGTATTGGTGACGCAATTCAACAATCGTGTGCGAGTTTCAGTTGTGGAATTTCTGTCGATTATTATGCAACAAGTATGTGAACGTTTAAAATTCTTTCTTGAAAAATATGATTTACCGTTGTTAAGATATTTCGTTAAAAAAAAAACCACGTACCGACAACCGCGCGATGTTTTTTTAATTGTTTGTTTGAAATCTTCGGGAATAAATTTCAAAGTTGTATATTACGTCTTGTCAATAATTGTGCGAAAAAAGCGTTTACAAATAACAAAAGTGCGGTGAATCTTCTCGTTGCACAGACAACGTTTTTCAATTAAATGTTAAAAGGAAAATTGAGAAAACTTCTTTCCGCTTCCTCATATCTTTTGGAGATCTTTATATATGCTGTCAAAATATTTTCATTAAAAAATCCAAGTAATCTTTGCTTCTCTGATGTCATCAGAATTGGTATAGAAAGTGTTCTAATTAATATTAATAGTGGTTTTTTTTGAAGACATAAAATACATTTACGTTGAAGTAGAGAAACGGCTCTTATGATTTAAAGAAATATATATAGTGGTTTTGTTTGGATTCTGAGAAAAATTTACAAAAAAATCTACAAGTTTAACTTGAAAAAAGGAGACAAATAAGTTTTATTTAAAACAATATAAGATGCAAAGTAATGCGGAATGCTGATCACTTATGAAGAATTGATATTGGTTCCAAAGTGTACAATTTACAAAAGCGTTTCCTGTGATGATGTTAAAAAAGCGTTTTCTTCGTGTGCAATCATTTTCGTAAAAATATTGTACTGTGAAATAAGAGAAAAAGCAATTATTATTAGTTTTTGAATGGGTGAAGTACACGTACTCAATAACAAATTAAATGATCGATGAAATAATAATAATTGTTAAAATTCAGCATTTTTGCAAAAATATGTTAGTTCGTTTTCACGTGCGCGATATAAATTTGGAAAATACGAGAGAGATTATAATATCACGAAGCAGAGAGTTTTTTTATCTCAGATTTATATCTTCAAAATGAATGGAAACTTAATGCTAAACAATCACACACACTCTCTCTCTCCTCCCCGTAAAAGATAAGAAAATCGATATTCAGAGATGATTAATATTCGATTATTCATCCAAATTTTTAATTCTTTATCTGTTGGAATCTGCGTCGAGAGAGTGTATATATATATAAATTGCCGCATCTAAAGATGTGGTATCTAAAAATTTTCCATCTCTTTTGTGTATTGGAATTGTGCTTTTTGTTCATTGTATATTTGCACATTGTTTGTAATTATTTACACGACGGGATTTACACAACATGTGTGTTCTTCTTTGTCATATTTTTGTGCGTATATCAAGTTTCCGTTAACAAAACACGCACTAGTAGTGGATTATTATTTGTGATGTGCGCAGATACATCAAATGATACATTATCCGGAAATACTTTTTTTTTCTCCCTGTGTTGGAGCGGAAAAATGATTACGACCGGCACCACGAAGTCTGTATTAGGGCGTGGTGCGGAAAGTCAACCGCTCCCTTTTTCACCCCAGCGAAGGGGCGCCTTTTGGTGGCGAGATAGATTAATTAGCGATGTTTTTATATCGACAAGAAAGTGCACGCATTTACCAACTGTCACCGGAAAACTCGTCGTTACGATTAAAAAGTTGCATGTAATGCAAATACGTAACGCAAATATACGTATATACTCTAAAGTTCAAATAAATCAGTAATTAATCTTCGAAAGAAATTCCGAAAATATATCTATATAGATTATTTTTTTTACACACGTACACACACATCTTTGCTTATAATTAGTCTTATATAAAGTCATTTAAATTCTTTTGGAAACTTGCGCTTTAACACATCTCTTCGATAGTTGAGTTAAAAATTATCACATACAGTTAAAGAAGATAAATTTTCTCTTAAACAAATATAAAATATTCAATCTAAATGATTTGTTGAACACCATTCTTATTATTATTATTATTATTTTTTAATAGAAAATGCGGACTGAGAAAGATCATTTGTCGTATATTTTATTTATTTGAATCGATTCGTGACTCAGATAATCTGTGTGGAGACACAATAATGAAGAGAAACTCAGATATCCGATTACGAGAAAAAAAAAAATTTCTGATAATTAGAAAAAGATTTAGTCTTCATTTTTAAGAGATTAAGACTGTCATTTATGTTCAAGACCGCTTTAACTTTATCTTGAGATGCTGTGACTTATTTCTACATATTTTTGAAATTATCAGTTTTTTCTCACTGAGAAACTTCGATTTTGTACGTTAGAAGTTTTCGAATTTCATGAAACAGTATTAATTTTTTTATTTTTTTATTTTTTTTTAGTTTCTATTCAAACTCGTTAGATTCTCTTCTCTTCTCTGAAAAATATAAACTCGATTTCTTTCTTTCGCGCTTGCAAGGATTAAATGGATGATCTAATCACATCTATCATCGCTTTTCCGCCTTTACCTGGCGTCGTAAGGTCGCTTTAAGATTTGCATAGGTGTTATAGAACTAATCTATAGATACGCGACGGTAGGTGGGTAGGTAGGTAGGTAGGTATGACAACCGCGCCGAGGTACATGCGGAAACACTTGGTTGGGCCACGTATACAAAGAGGGTACATTGCATGACATCCTTCTCGGGGGGAGGGTGACATCCTCCGAGATTTACCCTCGGTCGATCGTGTAAATTAATGAAGCGTGATTTTATAAATTTTTTTTTTTCGGAGTGGAATCTTATTCCACTTCTGTCGCATGACACATCGCTGCGATCCTCACCGAGAGTCGCTGAATTCTCCTTCAGAAAATGTACGACCGATCGCGAAAACGAAGAGTTACTTGTTGACTTGATTTCTCAATTACACGAAATATTTCCTCGATGGAATGTTTCTCGAACTTTATCTCGTGATATTCGAAATATGACAAGGTTGGAAGAAAGATAAAATTTATTTATTTATTAATTTTTTATCACACACGCGCGCGCGCGCGCACACACACACACACACACACATATTTTTCGTTTTTTTCGTGCAACTGTAATTCACTTTCTAATGGAAACCAAAAAAAAAAAAATTAAATTTTGAACAACTTGAGCAGAAAGTCAGACAAATGCGATCGTTTGCTCGTTGAAGTTTTCGAAATTCTTTTACAGTCAAACACTGTAAAAGAATTTCGAAAACTTCAACGAGCAAACGTAAGAAGAAATATATCCTCTTTTGAAGAAACGACGTGCCTTTGTCCTTCAAGAGTTTCACAATCGGTGGAAATTCTATAAAGGGGAATTAGATAGAACTAGAAAAAAGGGGAGAAAAAGAGAAAGAGAAAGAGAGACAGAGAAAAGTCATGAGTCATCCGCGCAGGTATGCCTGGAGGGTTGCCGGGTTACGGATCGGTAAACCCAAGATTGTCAGAAAGAGATTCTCAACCAGCCGACCGCCATCTTTGTTCCTCTTGCGTGGTGCGTGGGTGTATGTTCTGAGCGTGGAGGAAGCGGGGATGATGAGGGAGAACTGGACAAAAAGAGGGGAGGATAACAACGAGAGAGAAAGAGGGAGAGAGAGACGCCGTCGTCAAAAGCGAGGCGTAGAGTGAGAGATGAGAGAGGAGAAAAGAACGAATGAAGGGGAGAGGAAAAAAAATAAAAAGGTACAAAAAGACACAAGAGCCGTAAGCTCGCGGAAGGACAGAAAGAAAGAGGAGCAGAAAAAACGCGTAGCGTGATGATCGCGCGCAGGATGTCGAGAAAAGAGAAGAATGGAGGAATTAGCATCGTGAAAAAAAGACGCGAAGAGATAAAACCTAGAACGTCTTGGAGCGAGATAGGAATTTCTTGGGGCACTGAGGGAAAAAGCGGAGGGTACGAGCGAGAGGGCGAGGTGAAGGAAAGGAAGAAAAAGGGAGTTAGGGGAAAAGAGCGAGCGAGATAAAAGCGGCTAGGCGAAAGGCAAGTGGAGGGGAACGCGCGTTAGGCTACGGTAGTGAGGGAAGTGGGGCGAGGGCGGCAGGCGGGGAAGGAAGGAGATAAAAAGACTCCGAGAAGATGAGAGGCGGCCAATGGCGGCCTAGCACGACTCCGAGTCGCTGGCGGCTGACTCCCCACCACGGCTGCTTCAGCGCAGCATCCTACGATTCGTAGGAGGAATCGAGCGGAGGCATCAAACGGAAATGCGCATGTACGCCCTCGGCGCGGACATGACACTGCTCCCTTTTTCCCTCAACGCTCCCCGGCGAAGTCTCCGGCGCGAGGGTGCAATGCAGATATAGGCGTGGCGTTCTGGAGCCTTCAGAATTTCAACCTTCTCGCTCGGCTCCCTCTAAAGTGCTCTTTCATCGTTGCACGAACCCGCCTTTCTTCACGGCGATCCTTCGACAAAAGTTAAATATTCGCTCTTTGTATTTATTATCTCTTTTATCTGCGAATCTAAATTTAATAATCGAAATATGTAATGATAAGAAAAATATCTATTTTAAAAATATTTTTTATATTCGAATTCTAATCATTACACAATTTTTCTAATACAATTTCAGTGCAAGACAATATACTTCTTGCAAGTACAATCAGAAATTATACTATTCGGTCAATTTTTTGTGTGTAAGTGCAATAGCCGATACACACAAAAATCGTTTTAGAAAGAGGAAGAGTTTATATATATATATATGCGTTGTTCTCTTGCTGCTGCAAGTGCATTTTCAATTTTCAGTCTTTTTCGCGGTGCAGGTAGATCCACCTCAGGTGAAATGCAGCACAAATTTCTGATCGTCGCAATTGGAAATCTCTTTATGATGCTTTCCATTTCTAACGATCGTGGGTGAGACGGAAGACCAATCGTTATGATGTTCCATCAACCACGAAAACCGATTTCTATTTTTCTTTGTCGCGCGTGTTTCTCGTCATGTTGATGTGAGCATATGCTGATGCGATTTTTCACTCATCTAGTTCTTTTGCGTATGTATCGTTATAAAATTTTTATCTCCGTGCTCGATAACACGCGATCTTTATCTTCGCGAGATGTTTGACGAACTTTTCAGTAGAGTTAGTTTTCTTTTTTTTTAAATATGTATTAAAAAAATAACAATCGTACACTTTTTTTGACGATAACGGAATTCGGTTTGCGTTGTTTGGTTCAAAATAATTAAAAAAAAGAAAAAAACAAACAGCGCCCCGCAACGTAGTTTATATCGTTAATCAACGTAGCGTTTAACTATCGAGCGCGCGTCGAACCGCAGACGATGTTGATCAGACTCGTTTCTCGACACTTGTTCTTCAGAAACGAGCGCGTGCACATGATTTACGCGCATGAATAAAGTTCACCTGCCGACAGGTATATAACGTCTATATGGGCGGTTGTCAAACAGGTTCGCTCGGAACAAAACGACAACCGCTGTAGTCGTTTATAATCGGCGGGCAACCCATGTAATACGATATACATATATATTCATCAGGAAATTAATACGCAAAGTGTTTTCTCATGAAAGATATAAATTATGGTATTTTTTTTTTTTTTTTTTTTTTTTTTAAANAAACTTATAAATGTACACCACAATTACGCGCGTATTAAGAAAAAAACCAAGAAACGTGTTTGTACTTTAAATAAAATTTACACTTGGTGTCGGTTTGATTTAAAATTCTGTCGCACGCGACTGAAATTATATTTTTTTTTTTTTTTTTTTTTTATTACGCACAATATGTGCGTTATCAAAAGATGCGCATAAATATCGGCGAGAATACGGAGATTTCCGGAAAGAAAAAGAATGTAAAACTACGTTACGTCCTTCAGCTTATTAATTGTGTTAGTTATTACACTTACTCGACGTATATTATTCGCCTATCTTTGCACAAGTTCTTGTACGCACGCTCGTATGTTAAACATAGTCAATTAATTTGAATAAAAACGAGCTTTTGATTACACGCGTTATTGTTCGGGAGAATATGTAAAAACACATTCGTACGTGTGCTAAAAAAGTTCAATAACACAAATGAAAGTGACTAAACTATCGATGTAGCAATTAATATTACAATCAATATGTTCTTTTTATTTTGGAGTACACTTGTGCATTTTCCTTTCAAAGATTTCAACTTTGCTATTCTAGAGACGAAAAGTTCACGCAATATACTTGCATTTATGGTAATTTGGAAAATTTCAAAAGATACTAAACAACATAATGTCAAACGGTTCTTTACGCGATTTTCTTATAGATTTAAATCAATATTTTGAAGGATATAGATAAGAGAAATTACGCACACACGTATATATGCGGGTGTATATTTTGCCGAAAGATTCGTTTTTTTATATCTCTGAGATCTGCTTTTTCTATTTATTGTGGTTTGTGTAGCAGGACATCCTTAGCATTCGCTTGATTTATCTTACCGCAATTACATGATTACACACGCATCTCTTCTCTTTTATGTGTGTTACAATGCATTAAATTTTTGTATCTTATTATCAGAAAAAACGATTGCACTTCTGCTTCTAGCATTATAGCTTGCAAAAGAATTGAAGCAGATATTACTTTTTTTTTTATTGACAAAGAAATTGTGTCAATATTAAAGAATATTTTATTGATATCGCAATTATTTATATTCTGTTTTTATTTTGCGTTTGCAAACGTGACGAAAATTGTAAAAGTAGAAGATATAAATTTATAATTTTTTAATTTGTTAATCTCAAAATAATCGGTAAAATATTCTTACGTTGTGAGTTTTACTGTCGGGTCATTGTCTCTAAAATACAACTTAACTTAGTATATATACATATTTTCTCAATTAATAACACACACACATACACAAAGTAATTAAAATATCAACTCACTTTCAACCAGTTCGCGCGCGCAACTCACAGCTCAAGTTTATCTCGCTTCACATCTCGTGAGGTCGAGACAGCTTTTGAATCGCCGATTTCTCAAAGGATGCCCGCGCCATAAATTCTCTAAAAGTGTGATAAACAGAATAGACCGTCGAGTGCGGTTAGAAACGTCGAGCGAGGACGTTGATAAATGTTATTGTCTCGGCAACATTTGCGGTTCGGATATCAGCTTCCGGAATACTTAGTCAGATTTGTGTCCTGTGCTGCCGCTGTGACACAGTTCCTTACCTCTAATGTGAGGCTTCTAGAGACGCAACACCGGCGGATCCGGTGGCTCTCTCCTGTTTATCCGCGGTTTTAAAAGCCAACTCGCGCATCACATAGATGGTCAATGATATTCCACAGCTTACGTATATATATATCACTGTGCGTTATACGTACAGGATATGTCAAATGTGGTATGTGCACAGGATGTCCCGTAACTAACGACGCATCACCGCTTAAGACCGATTTTTTGAGATAAACTTTGAGACGCAAAAGTTCCTACAATCGGAGCTTGGAATTCACAGTGGTTTTTTTTTAGCAAGTTGAATATAAGCGTTTCAAAAGTTGAGACGAAAATCGAATAAAGAGAGAGAAAGAGAGTTCGCATGTTCTCTCAGCCACACGATATAATACACTAATACAAAAAGCTTGACACGCGTCAGTGTACACTGTGTTAAATCGCGTCGAGAGAATAACTTCTGTCTGTTTTCGTTAACAATTTTTTGTTCAACCGATAATGAGTGTCTCAGTGATTTTATTCGACTTGATTAATTATTGTAAAATCTCCTACCTTCAATTTTTAATAATTATACGTGTATACTCTTGGTAGTGCGCTAACGTCGATGTTTTGCTATAGTTATTTTGATTTTCATCGATGAAGATCCCACCTTGGAATAAAAATGTCCGAATCAAGAGTTTTGTTTTAATGAGGAAAAAGTTTTTTTACGCACTAACATCCTGTACTTTAGCTCGCCTTGACCTTATTTTGTATACATTGTCACGAGTTTTTTTTCAGCTTATACTTTATCTAAACAGACTTTTCTATCCAGTCATTTGACAGATGACTATGCAATAATTTTAAACTAATAAATTTAAACTAGTAATTAAATTAAATTTAAACTAATAATTTTTAAGTAGTACGGGCTAGTTTTTCTCGAACATTTTTCTGTCCAAAGAGTGATTATAGGTCTGTAAATGTTTTCTTTGAGTATTTAATTTACGTAAACATTAGTTGTGCGTAAATAAGTACTTACTTTTAGAAAAACCAAATAAATATACTTAATGGCTAAAATATACTCTTAAAATATACTTACTTATAAATATACTTAAAATATACTTACTTATAAATATACTTAATGGCTAAAACCACAATAATTAATTACACCGACCGCAATAAATCCACAATAAATTTAGAAGTAATTGTATTTTATGTTGTATTTTTTTTTTATTTTCTTTTTAAAATGCGTCAACTGTTTAATTTCTCGATCTATATTCCACTTTATAAAATTTATCATTCTCATTTCTCTTAATCTCTACTGCACGCGTGCTCGTTATATCCGAACTGTCTCGGTTTTCCTGTTTCGTCAGATTTGTGGTCCAGACTAAATCGCGCTTGCGGGTTTTTCCGGTCTTCGTAATAAAGTTCCTGTTTGAGAAACAATTTAGCGAGAAGTATAGTTATAACGTAAAATTCAGTTCTTTCAGCCGATTTGTAACGCAGTAATAATAAAAAAAAAAGTACAAAAGCTCGAGTTTTCTTCCAGTAATGTTTATAATCGGTAACAATATATCTATAGTAATCAGTTTTATCGAACTTTTGCAAAGTATTTCATAAATTTTTATATTTATGTTTCAGTGACTGAATCTGAGAATGAATCTGATCAGAAGCAAGAAAACGAAGCACAAATCGATGCCGCTTCGCCATCATCAAGCGTAAGTCTTTGTTAATATTAGTATGCAAAAACAAAATATAGCTTTTTACATAGACTCTAATACAACCAGCTCTGATAAAGCAATAAATTGCAAATTAACAAATTAAATTTAATTGCTATTGTTTTCTACAAAAAACAAACCAACAGGTTGAGCTGTCGGAGAACATCACGCATCCGTGCCCGAATTGCCCGTCGGTATTCTCCAGCTCCCATGAGTTGACCAATCACTTGCGCGGCCACAACTCACCGCGTAGCACGGACTGCAGCGGCGAGGAGCTCGACTACAGCTGCAACGTTTGTAACAAGGTGCTCAGCTCGGCGAGTTCGCTGGACCGTCACGTGCTGGTACACTCGAACGAGCGGTCGTTCAAGTCCAAGCACTGCAACAACACGACGACGTATACAACGAACGGCAACATGAATCGACACGCGAGAAACGCCCATCGTCTGGTGTCGTCGAACAGTTGCACAGATTCCGAGGGTAGCAGCAGTTCGGAGAGGCCGGCGATAACGAACCAGGACGAGTACAACAATAACGAGATCGCCAGGCGTAACTCGCCGGATCTGATCGACGATCGACACGACGAACCGTCGCCCAGCGATCGTGCGAGCAAACGGAAATGTTCGGACGATAGCAGCGACACGGAGGAGCAGAGGAGTCACAAGATTCTCATGAACTCTCGGATGATGATGAGGTGCCGGCCGGAAGAGGAGCAGAAGACATTCAGCTGCTCTACCTGCGGGCAAAACTTCATGACAAGCGCGATATTGGAGTCTCACATGGACCGCGTGCATCCGGAACTCATGCCCAAGTGCGAGACCTGCAATCTGTCCTTCAAGAATTATCGCGTGTTGAATCTCCATCGTACCATGAAACATTTCAAGAAGCACACCGACGGCAACAACAGCCGGAATCTGCGCAACACCGTGGACGGCTTCAAAGATCTGACGTTCATCGACTTCTCGTCCGACAAGTTTCCGACGATCGCCCGGGCGGTGTGCGAGCGGGAGCTGCACCGACCGGCTTCCGGCGAAGTCAACAGGTTTCAATGCATGAAGTGTTTGCACGCGTTTCCATGCAAACAAGCCCAGCTGGCGCACGAGAAGGAATGCAGAGGTCCGTACAAGAACAAAAGAAACGACAACAACAACAATAACGACAATAGCACCAATAATAATTTTGAGACAGATCTAGACGCGCCGTCGGTTCAGGATGATCCCAAAACGAAACAAGAAATGTTCTTCGCCGTGCTGGATCTGCAGAATAAAGCCTCGACGCACGAGGCGAAGGAGTTGAAAGAGTCCAGAGATCCGAAAGAAATCAAGGAACCGAGGGATATTAAAGATCTTGCAGACATTCCAAGCATTCTGTCCGTCAGCTTGAACTGTCTGCAAACTTTTCCTCGTTCGGACGCCAGCACGCCCGAGAACACCATCAGGTTCCATCCGACCGTCAGTTCGTCAGGTTCCTCTGGCACCTGCTCGTCCGAGTACAACGAAGAAGAGGCGCAAGACGCGTTCACCGCAGAATTTCGGAAGATGAAATTGAAGGGCGAGTTTCCCTGCAGATTGTGCACAACTGTGTTTCCCAATTTGCGGGCGTTGAAGGGACACAATCGTGCGCATATGAACGTGGAGCCGGGAATGCCGTATCCGTGCAACATGTGCCCTTACACCAGCACCGATAAAGGAGCCTTGATGAAGCATCTGAGATCGCACAATGGCGACCGACCGTTCGAATGCTCCATCTGCAATTACGCATTTACCACCAAAGCAAACTGCGAGAGGCATGTGAAGAATCGTCACGGAATGATCAGCAAGGAGGAGGTCAAGAACGTGTTGATATATCATCCGAGTGAAGACTCGACGAACGACAACGTCGAGAGAAGCTCGCCCCGAGTTGTCAGAGAGGACATGCGAAAGAGTCTCGTTTATCCGAACGAGCGCGAAGAACCTCCTCCTCAGCAACAGCAAATTCATTATCCGCCCATACCGTTAGATTGCAATCCGGGACCGTCGAATGTTCGCGCTGAGATGCTGATGACTCGCTATGAGAAGCCGGAGATGTTCACCAGACCGACTAAGACGCAGGCTCTCAATCTCGTGAAGAGAAACGCGCAAGAAGCGAACGTATCTCACGATCTGATCGCGAAGCCTAATTATTCGAAAGTTGAAGTCGAGATGAAGGAGGACATCGAGTCGAGATCATCGGATGGCAGCGTGTCTCTAGTCAGTGATACCAATAAAATAGATACACACCAAAGAATTCAAGCTAGTCCGATGAACTTGACGAAACCTATTGGATTGAACTCGGGAGAGGACGGGCCGTTGGATCTGTCGATGGATGTGTTAGATTTGAGCAGAAAACGGAAGAGAGACAATGAGGATATCGACGGCCACGAAGAGAAACGATTTAAAAACAATCAGTCGGATCTATACGCTACGAATCCGGCGTTGCTCCTTACTCAAGCTCTTCTGAACAGAGCTCGCGAGACTTCTCCAACGTCGCTCGAAACTTTCTACGCCAATACGATTTATCGCAACCTCGGCACGTTGACCGGCGCAAGCATGATACCTTCGTACTTTTTGAACTCTCATATGTTCAATCAAGACTTGGCTGCGAAAAATAGACTACAGAAGGAATTGGTGAGAGGCTTGCAGTTAACGGGCGGTGGTACTCTTCCGGTAGATACAGCAATTCCTAGCACCAGTTACGCTTATCCGCAAACAAGAGACGTCACCACTTCGCAGGCACCGAGCGAACAGTGTTATCCAAATCTGATGACCAATCAGACCGCGCCAAATCGTGTAATCGAAAAACCGGACGTTATATCGTCAAATGATCCCGTCAAGATGGTACTGAAGAATGGAGTGTTAATTCCTAAGCAGAAACAACGCAGATACCGTACAGAAAGACCGTTCAGCTGCGACCATTGCTCGGCTAGATTCACACTGAGGAGCAATATGGAGCGTCATATTAAACAGCAGCATCCCCAGTTTTGGAGTCAAAGACCTCGCGGAGGACATTCGACCAGAGGTAGACCGCCCGCAAGTCTCATGACGCAAAATTCGAATTCGTCGGCATCGCAAGCTCAACCGAACATTCTCAAACTCGAACCGCCGATGGTTACATCGGATTATAACTCGCATCCTATCTCGAATCAAGTAAAATACGCAATTCTGGCGCAACAATTGAAAGCTAAGATAGACGATAACGATTCGGAGGACGAGATGGTGATAGACGAGGAGGAAACGGGTGACAGGGATGTTCAGGAATCGCAAACTCAGCACGAATCCGGCACGAGCTTGCTGAGAGATCAGTTGGAAAGTAGCGATGATACCAAAGACGTCGTGGTGAAGACAGAAAAAGACACCGAGCTTGTCGAGGAGAGCTTAAAAGAGTCTCGTACTGAACAGACTACTCAAAATGACGTTGACAAAGTCAATTCGGAAGAATCCGAACCTGTCGAAAAGAAACCACGTATTACCGAAGAGGAAAACACGAAGGAATCTACTGGAAGAGAACAAGTCAAGCTCGAAGACGGAGCACCCGATCTCGCGAGCGTTTCGAAGCTTCTTGACAACGCGTCTCAGCAATATCAACAATTTAAACCGCAGTACTTGAGCGACGAGGAAGGACCGGTGGCTTCGACTAGCGGCAACAACTCCGGTAGCGAAAAGTCCGATTCTATGAACTCGAACTCTAATAACACCTCGTCGAACAAGAAGAAAAAGAAGAAGAAGTCCGCTTACTCGTTGGCACCGAATCGCGTGATATGTCCCTTCTGCGAGCGTCCGTTCCCCTGGTCCTCGTCACTGAGACGCCACATTCTCACTCATACCGGCCAGAAGCCGTATCAGTGCAAACACTGCTCGCATCATTTCACGACCAAGTCCAACTGCGATCGCCATTTGTTGAGAAAGCACCGAGCGAAGGCGAATAAAACGCGCCAAGCTAGAAATTCCTCCTCGCCGGACATCCAGGTGGTCGCCAGCAGTAGTGTCGCCGCCACCACTAACAACGCATTTTCTATGAGGAACGTGCCCGAGAGACCGTTCAAATGCAATCAGTGTCCGAGCTCGACGTTCTCCACGTTGGGCAATCTGAAGAAGCACCGATCGACCAAACATCGCAAGACTGTGTCCAGGTCGGAGTCCAGCGATCAGCAAAACAGTCCGCCGCAGTGTGCCGCGCAAAACGATCAGAGCGATTACGAGAGTCCTTCGTCGAGCCAGTCCGACAATTCGTTATCTGCTACCGTAAACGTAAAATCGAATATCAACACGTCTCTCAATACGCTGACTGAAACCGGCAGATCGCGCAAATCGCCAAGATCGTCTCCGGGACCTGGTGACGTGCCTTTCAAGTGTTACTTATGCGACAGCGGCTTCGCAGAACGACAAGACTGTTTGGAGCATATCAAAATACATCACCGACGATCTTACGAGATGTTGAAGGCCAAAGGAGCCCTCGAAATGGCGTCTATGAACATAGACGCCGGTGAGGACCAGATGATCACCGCGCAGCAGCATCACAGCGATGGCGAAGAAAAAAAAGGACGTTTTCCGGACTATAGCAACAGAAAGGTAATAAAAATACAATAACAAAAGAAACTATCTCAAAGACTTTTTTTTAATTAAACTCGGTTTAAACTAACTGACTGACTTCAAAAATCAAACAAAATTCAAAAACAATTTTGTATCATTTTTTCTTAGTTTAAATTGCAATATAATCTCTCTTTTGTTTTCATACCGATGAATATAGACGCGAACAACATCTCGCACAAAGACATCTACAAAATAGCAACTAAATAGCAATGTGTTCTTTTCATTCCCGCAGGTAGTGTGCGCTTTCTGCATGAGACGATTTTGGTCAGCGGAAGATCTTCGACGCCACATGCGGACCCACACCGGCGAGAGACCTTTCGAATGCGACATTTGCAGCAGAAAGTTCACGTTGAAGCACAGTATGCTGCGCCACCGCAAGAAGCACGAGTCAATGGATTCCTCCATGTACATAGGCAACAGCGGCGATGAGGAAAATTCACCCGCACAACCGCCAACGATTACACCGTCGCCGATTTCCACCAACACCAGCAGACCCCGCACTCAAGACAGAATCTCCTTACCGACCGTCGCGGCGGTTGCGACAGCGGACGCGGCGCCCTGCGCATTGATGCGATATAATCATTACGATAACATGGCCACTCTCACCGGGAGAATGGCGAACGATGGATCGCAAGGTGCTGCTCCCGCCCCTTTGTCGTCCACACCACCACCTGCGGAGGCGCCCAGTGAGAGCGGAGATAATGATCTGATCTCCAACTTGCTGGGAATACGCGAGAAAGGTCTGCTCGACAAGGTACTTCTTGGCTCGGCGGACGATGCGGCCAAGTTACTCGGTGTCAATCACAGCGAGTGATACATAATCGGTCGCGCGAGCGGAAACGGAGATGCGCGATCAAATATACGAGATTAACTTAAACAAACATTAACGAAACAAAATAAAAGATAATTAAAGAATCTAGAGCGTGGAATGCTGCTAGACAGATCTAGAGTATGGAATGCTGCTAGAGATTCACGGGAGAAAAATGCAAAACTAGAGACTCCACCATATGGTAATTAATCATTCCCGAAGAAAAGTCGTAAATAATTGTCGTTATTTGATCGCACACCAGTTTCTCCTACTTTGTGTGTGAGTAAAAAGAAAATTAAAAAAAAAACCAAAAAAAAAAAAAAAAAAATACTTTTAAACTGATCGTCGGATTCTTGTAACTTCCGCCTAAGGTTCACGATCGTGCCTTATATTCCTTAACGATTTATCGCGCACGTGTTCACATGAAACACTGTACTACATCTTATTTGGACTTTTTTTTTTTTTTAATAATATACTCTCCGCGATACATGAGAGTAATTGTCGAAATGTGATCACGTGCTGCTAGCAAATAAAAATGTCCGTGTAAAGTTTTTGTAATTTACATACGACAAGAAAAATAACAAAAGTCACATTAATCAACTAGGTCTACTGCGAAAAGTAGGTGAAACGATGGATTGATAGAGGAATTCACATTATTTTGACTTTCTCTCTTAATTTGTTATTAATTGTATTATATATTAATTGTGTATACGTACTCATTAGAAATATACATACAAAAATATTAAAATTAAAAAATACATATCACATATATTTAGTAAATATATATATATACAGTGATTTCGATATAGTACTATGTATACAGTATTATATATATAGTACTGTACTATATATATATGTATATATATATTATTACACTATATATGTAATAAATCGCTACATATCAAAAATATTTAAATCAAATTTTTTTATACGAAATATTGTATAATATTTATTAAAGCACTTTGAAGTAAAAAAAAATTAAAAAAAAAAATAATATTTACAAAAAGTTATTTTGATTCTTCGCGAATTCATGTTTATAAAAATGGTTTGCACAGGAAAGGTGCGTGCGTATATTCCTTTGTATTTTTTAATAAAAATTACATTTTGCATCTAATATAAGGTTACTTTCACATGAGAATTTATAGAAGAATGGAAAAGGAGAATCGAAATTTTAAGAAATCTGCGTGTCTTCGCGATTTCGAAGATTAAATTATTTAGCGTTGCAGAAAAACGAATTCCTTCTGATTCAATTCTTCTCACCTATTTTTCACATTGTACATACGCTTTATTTATTCATACAGAGCTATGAAATGTTTTATTTTTGCTGTTTATTTCAAGAAAACCATCTCCGAGCTACGTATTTCATATCTTGTTCTATATTTGTGTCGCGCCAAAAGCGAAATTTTTTAATCACTCATCAGCGAATTGTGAAACTTCTAATCACACGCTGCATTTTCCTCGTTTTATCGACATGTAACCATTTGTATGAATCAATAGAAGTTTTATTTTTACAAAAATGTTTACGCTTGTGACACTTCAGTTTTTTTCTCCATAAACGTCTTGAGTCTCGTTTTTTTTTCTTTTATATAAGAATCGCGTCGCCAGACGGATCCGTTTGTGTATATAAATCATGTGTTTTGAATATATTTAAGATTCGATGTGGTTGTGCTCTTCTTTGTATCCGCTCGTGATTAGTTATCGTGAGTAGTTATCGTAACGACAAATCGCGGGCACGTTAAATGCTCGTTGAAAAAGAAAAAAATAATAATAATGTTTTTAACAGCAATGTTATTATATAACGTGCATTAGAGGTCTATATAGATAACGTGTGTGTATTTTGTTCACGCAGTATTAGAGAAGCACACCTTACATATATTATAAACAGAGTAAAAGACATATAAAAAGATATTTAAAAAAAAAAAAAAAAAAGAAGAAGACATACTATTTAAAATGTGTCTTAGATATTATGTATCTGAGAGAAAATAGATAATTGATTTTTCATAAGACGACTACATTTCGTGTGTGAATATTCGACGGAGCGATGATTTATTTTGACCTAGTAGCACTCTCCCGTGTCTGTCTCATACGAAGACGATACTGCATTTAAATCCAAAGAATTGATTCTAAAGAATTGAGTTAGCCATATATGCACTACGATCTTATTTATTATTTAGGTATATGCGTATTTCTACAAAAGTGAGAAATGTAACTTAAGGTGCGATTATATAGTTGATTATATATATATACATATATACATATATATATGTGTGTGTGTATATATATATAGTAAAAGACATATTATATATGTTAAAAAAAACACACATGTGCGTGCGTAAGCGTTGTGAAAAGCATAAGTATGTTTGTTAACGAACAAGTCGGATCTGTGATCCAAATCGGAATGTTCTGCGGAAATAGCTATGTTTTTCTGCGGTCAAAGATGAAGATGATAAAAAAACAAAAAAAAAAAAAAGAACTCGCTTACTTATAAGGAACACGAATGCGATTCCAAGTGCCTGTTCAAATCTGTTTTTTCTAGTATTTCTTTTTTTGTTTTTTGTTTTTGAAAAAAGGCATAGAGCAAGAGACGACATGCAATTTTCACACGAGACGTAAAATAATTTTAAGAAAATGTGAAAATATGCGGAGCAATACATATAAGAGCTAATTTCTACAGATTACAGTCGTGATGTCTGGTCGCGTTAAGAATATTTTAGTGTGTATATATAAATATATAGATAGTTTATAATTATATTCTTGGCGAATGCAATTATACCAAATGATTTAGTTGATGATGATTGTGTAAGTAGGTGTTATAGAGCAGAGAACGAGAAAAAAAAACAAGTATAATAGACAACGGAACTTACTTAGGCCAAAGGGAAACGATTTATATTTCCTACTCCTTCGACTTTCTCCTACTCTATTCTTTGTTGTCCGTTTGTATCTCTTACTCGCGTTCCGTCTCTGCTTCTCTCTTCTCAATCTCTCCTTTTTCTTCTCTCCATATACATATATATATATATATGTATATATTCGTAGATATTCGACGATATTTATTTGATTTTATTGCGGAGAGATATAAAGCGTGATTGTATTGTGTGGCTATAAATAATTTTTAGTCAAAACAAATAGCTCGGGATTAATTTCTCTAGCAACGTTGTTCTCTTTATCGTGTATATATATATAACGTATACTGTGTGTATCTTTGGCGATATCTTTGTCGCGGGATATCTGTAAATCTCCCGATTCCTTTACCAAAGATTTCAGACTTTTTGCGTGAATAAAAAAAAGTCTTCTCTCACGGGGCATTTTACACAACACATTTGGATTTCTTACAAAAGAGTTTCTGAGACGATCAAAAGTTTACAAGTATCCCGCGATAGATGTACCACACGACGACGTGTTAACGTAACGTAACGTAACGTAACGTTTTACGTACATATTACTGGTAGACGAAATAAAAGGAAAAGCTGTACTTGTCACAGCGAGCGAGAATCTACTTGAAGTCTTACGAATAAAAATCTTTCTTCTAATTGTGAAAATTAAGATAATCATTGTAGCGCACGTGGATATATAAGTTGTATTCTCTACTTTAAATCAAGAATTTAAAAATAAATATACAATATACAAAGAAAATTTTCTATTCCTTTATTTGCTTTCCGGTTTTTTTTTGTTTACAAACAAAACTACATGGATCTTTAGCTTCACGATCATAAGTGTAATAGTAATAAACATAAAATTTTCTTTGATCCATTTGTTATAAGTCATGTCTTACAACATCTTAGGTCCAATGAATAAAATCGTGTCCTCAGTAAATAGATTCTTTCAATCAAATCTTCTCGCGTAAGTAACTTTTAAACCAATACGTCTGTATCTTTTATGTACTAATTGACGTTGAATAACTCAAAACTTTGGTGATTAAATTGTAAGTAAACATATGGTTACAAAATAATAGTAAATATATACTTATTAGGTAAATAAACGTACAACACTTTTTTCTATATATATATATATATATATACATATAAAATATATGTAGTGTCTAATCTTTTTTAATTTCAACTATAGTCTCAGCTATAGTTTTACTTGATTATAAAATGTAATGTATGTATACTGAATATACATGTCGTTGTATAAAAACGTAAAGATTAAAATGACTTACAAATACCGTTCCTACAGTAGTTATCTATTAAAAAATTAAACTTGCTTTATCAAATAAGGACACGAGTAAAAGATATAGTTTGGAAAGTTTTTTTAGATTTAAGAAAACAAACACTTTAATATGTTATCCTTAGATTCACCTTGTACTACGTTTTTCAGTGTAAGATGGACAGATGTAAAACAGTTCATGATACGGTTTCTAGTGTAATATGGTGAGGTCTTGTTGCGCGCATTATACACGAGAAACCAGTCGAATATATTCTTGAATAAATAAGTGTAAAATATCTCTGGCATAAAACCAACTTCCGTCTTTATATCATTGGTAATTAGTTCATCCATCTCAGACTCAGTAGGTTGATTCACCGCAAAAACTAATTTGTTCAGAAAATTCTCTATAACCACGTTATCATTTTTGATCTTTTTTAAACCTGTCATTATCCTTGAATTAGGGTCGATTGCCTTTACATTAATACGATACCGCTGACCTTTTTCAAAGTTGAAGATCGAATCTTTTTCATCAATTGGAACTAAAAATGAAAGTACACTAATACTTTTATTTGTGAAAACTGTCAGATCCATGATTTCGTCATTTTTGAATGATCGGAGCATATCCAGATAAGCTATAAACAAATAGATCAGACTGTATTGTTTATCAAACTTCTCTGTGGATGAGAAGTGACGTTTCTCGATAGGATATTTCGAAGATGTGTACTTGATTTGCACAAAACGATATTTGGAAATGTTTTCTTCTTCTTTCGTATCAGTCTTTGTCTCGTATTTCACAACTAAATCGTGAAATCCACGAGCGCCATACATTTCCGCACCTAATTTCCAATTCTTATTATTGTTTTTAAATAGACTCCATGCTGTCCACGTCAATATCTTTAATTGATATGAAAATCCTTGTATTATACCATTTTTTAAGAATGCAGCAGGATACTGTTCTTCCACTGTAACATATCATTATATATATGTATCATTGTACATATATATATACATATACATGTGTGCATGTGTATTATTGTACATGTGTATGTGCCATTTTTATACGCTATATTTTAACATAATTTTTTTTACTCATCCTCCTCTATATTTTTTCACCTCTACATGATATTGTTTTGTGATATAATGCATAAATCATAAATATTGCAAATCTCATAAAAAAACAAAGGATATATAAAATATTAATAAAATTCAGATCTTATAAGATTTTAAATAAATCTGTTAAATGTGATTATTACAAAACAAAATTTACTATATTAATTTACAATTTAAATGCAAAGATTATGTAAGAGAAAATATATACATATATATGTACACATAAAACTTTTAAATTTATATATATGTATCTGTGTATAAATATTGTCACACATATGTGCAAGGGCATATGTAAGACACAATGAGAAAGAGAGGAAGAAGGGAAAAAGAGATAATAGATGGAAGATGGAAGAAGATAGAGGTAGAGAGGGGGAAGAGTGGAAGAGGGAGAAAGAGAGAGAAAACGATATTTTTTCACAACAAAAGTTTACTCAATAGTAAACTTTACATGCCGCAACTGTAGAAAGAAAAGCAGAGAAAAAAAAAGATGTACGAAAGAAACAAAGAAAGATTAACATTCATAATTGCACACGTATTTAGCAAAAACACGAAGTGTTATACTTTATATTTTTAGCACGACGCAGTAAAGTATATGTACGTACAGTTTCCACTCTGCTGTAAGTTTTTACTTTTCTCTTCTTCAGTGACTTCAGCTTTACTCGAACTGGAATCAGTGTCTTCCGTTTCATTTTTTCCTATTGCCATATTCTTAATCAGCTCTATTATTGTCATTTTTTCTTTTTCCACGAATTTGGCTATAATTTCACTTGTATCAGAAGTCGTATTCTCCGACACAGTATCATTTTCAGCAATTTTCTTCGTGTTTTCGCAATCATCATCGCCAGATTTCTCATCCTCGGAATTAATATCAACGGATTTGGAATCTTCCGATGTATTATCGGATATAGTCGTGTTCGATTTGGGATCTTCCGATGTATTATCGGATATAGTCGTGTTCGATTTGGGATCTTCAGAATTAGTTTCAGTAGATTTAGAATCCTCCGACATCGTGTCTTTTTTAGTACTTTTAGACGTAAATAATTGCACTAGATGTTACTTAATCTGTAAAATTATAGTTATAAAAATTAATTTAATGGAATAAAGGGTTTTTTTTAGACAAGACGCACACACAAGACGCAGGATTCTCTTCTATTACTTACCTTACCGTGACTCAACGTATCTTCTCAACACGCTTCCACAGTTCACAGTCAGTGTTCACAGTTTTGAGACGCAGCATGTTACAGCGGTAGAGGGGATGCGCACAACAGCAGTAGGTATTTACTCGCTGTTTTGTGCGCATCCCTTCCGTTACAGCATGATGTAACCGTTTTAAGGAGATCCTAAAGTAAAACTGTTTTATCGATAAAACGGAAATTTTTGCGCGCACTAATTTTGGTTTGGGCTGTATGGATCGACAAATCCTGTTTCAGACTGGCTTTTGCTCCTCACGTGCAGGGGCGTGCGCCATAGAAGCAAAGAAGAAGAAAGAAGACAAATCCTTTTCTACGATTAAAGTACAGAAGAGTGCGCCATATCGTGCGGTTCCAGAAGAAATATTTTATATGGTATATGGTGCACTTCTCTGCAAATACAATAAGGGATCCGGGAAGTCCAAATTTATACAATAAAATGAAAAAAAAAAGATGTTTTAAAAGTTTTCATTTTTTTCAAACAAAATATATTTTATCTTTTAAATAAAGTTATCGAGAACTTATCGGAGGTGAAGAAATTGGGCATTGACACAAATATGCTGCAGCAGTGGAAGGAATGCGCACAACAGCAAGCGGAAACCTGCTCGCTGCTTTCTTGTGAGTACCGCTTAAAGGGTCGTCTACAATGAAGGTAGTAAGGGTGTAAGAGTAAAGTAAGTCTTCTTGGAGTTATTTTTTACTTTTGTCTATACAAGTAATTATTTCGCGCTTTTTAACACGCGTCTTTCAATTATTTGTATAGTACAAAAATAAAATAACTCCAAGAACCTTACTCTACTCTTACAGCCTTACTACCTTCATTGTAGACGGCCCTTAAGAGAATGCTGAACGCCGGCAAAAATCTGATTTAGTTGCCACTCAGCCGCTACGCTGTCCAGTAAGTGGCGCCCTCTCTTGGAACCGAATCAAAACAAGAATAGATGACAAAAAAGAGACAAAGATAGACGCATGTGTCTCTTTGGCGCTTCTGCTATAATTGCACTAATCGTAATTTTCTACTATTCTTTTCTTACAAGCTGCATAATGCCTTTTCGAAGCACTCAAAAAGACTATTTGTGTTTATATTTTTAGAAGTGCAAAGTATATAACTTTCTTTTGTGTGTGAATTCATACTGCCAATTTTGTATATGAAGTGAAATTGTAAACTATGTCGTAACAACAATCCATAAATCGCGTTACAGGATATATAAACATTATATATACCCACACAGAACAAAAACTCCATTAGACATCTGTTAGACGTCGACAGCTCCATGCGACATCTAATAGATGTCTAATGGATGTCTGGATAGATGGATATCTGTGTGGGATATGTCTCTTAAATAGTAATTGTGTGTAAAACTTTGTGCTGTGATAAGTTTATAACGTATTAGTTTACTGTTTTATAATAATTAATAACGGCTTTTTGTATCTTTTATAAACTATGCAATATATATTTTCATATTAGATTATAACAACGATCGGCAGCAAAAATGAAAACTCCGATGTTTTCAATTTTGACGCGCAATCTATGTTCATCTACGTTCTATCTGTTGCAATCTATTTGACAATGCGATTTGTCAAATTAGCTGACAACGTGTTTTTTTTTTGTCTCTCGAATTAAAGCATTTCATGCATTTTATAATAACTGGTACCATATGTAAAAAAAAACTATTTGATCTGTCAAAAAAAAGAGATGATATCTCATTCGCATATGGAAGCATTAATAAACTTAATAATTCCATAATTTCATCAAGGTTCTTGAAAACCTCATAAATCACGATTGCAACAATAACATTGTATATTCCAATGAATGCGCTCTATATGTGCAACGCATCGTATGTGAATCAGGCGAAGCGCGAAAAGTAAAAACGAGGATTGCGTTGCACATACATAACACATATATAACACATTCAATGAGCGAAAAAGCTATATTACACATTCTCTCTTATGATCCTGGCCGTTTTCAGTCACTGAATTTTAAAATAATATAAATATGACTATCGGCCCGATGGTCTCGCGGCCCGGAGATCGATTCTGTATCACGCGGTGTAGTGAAAATTACAAAAGTGAACGAATTTACTAAAATATCTATGATATCTTATTGGTCAACAACTAGTAAATTTGCTCACTTTTGTAATTTTTACTACATTGCGTGAATACACAATCGACTCCCTGAGTGCGAGGGCTGCGAGCGGGGGATCCTTCCGAGTTCGAATCCGCACCGTCGAATTTTTTCGGACCGGTCTCTTTTCAAAATTCACGGCTGTAACATGCAGGTAGAATTCGACCGCGAAATGTTTAGTTTCCCGACTGAGAGAGGCGAATTCAAATTTGAACACCACGAGCAACGGCAATTTCGACCTCGACATGCTTACTTGCTTTCGGTTCGATGAACAAGGTCAAACGACCGTGTATCATATACGGCAACTAAACAAAGTTACATCGACTCCACTTCTCATATTAATCGACACGACCTTCATGCGGCCTTCGACTTGACATAGGCGTGTTTCACCCCAAGATAGGATTCATAATGATTCACATATGTTTTTGCTCATTGATTTTGTTTATTTGTAACAAATTGCTTTGTACACCCCATCGAAGGTTTTATCACTCCGAAAACAGCCCGACAAAATGACTTATTGTTACGACGATGACAATCGGCACGACAACTCGAGGTTACCGACGGAAAAGCGACACGAATCGAGTCTCCAATCGTGCACATAGCACGGAATAGAACCACGTCCACGTTTGGACGTAGCGTACGCACCGACAAGTCGTTCGTGGACATGGTCTACGTAGTTGACAATGTGCACCATCCGACATTGCGCTGGCTTACAGGGCGGAAAAGCTATTACACATTCTCTTAGTGGCCCTGGCCACTTTATTGCTCATTAGATGTAAAACAAAGATTGAATGACGCAATAGCGCTGATAGCGTGCTCCCCGAACGCAGCCTCAGTCTTCTCTCTGTTTTTGTTCTTCATCGTTCGCTACATGTACTTCATTAGAGTTACAATTTTTCAACGTCGGATCTTCGGCGCGTAATCGTTGTTTTCAATTATGGTTGATTTTGAACTGTTAGAGTTAGATTTTTAATTTAATAGATTTTTTTCCAACACAATGCGTGTAGAATTTTTATTTTGAGGGCCGATTGTTTCGCTTTCAGATAAAGTATCAGGTAATCTATTTAATGATTTGAAAACTCTTTAATTTGCGTTGTTTCACGCGTCGGGAAAATTTGTTTATCTAAACGACCAGAAGCCAAAAGATAAAATTACAGGGCACTCTCGGTACCGTGTAAGTCATATCTAACAGATAAATATGTAGAATTAGAAAACAATGGGAGATGCGTTAGGTAGGTACCTGTCCTATAGATAATAACCTGTCGAATAAGCTGAGATTTATCAGAAGATGGAACAACCGACCCTGAATCTTTCTATTGCTTTTCACACTTTGCTGCAGAGTTACGTGCTTTGTCTTGTGGTCGGCCTGGAAATGAGACAGAACATAATATGTCTGCAGTCTGCACTCTTCCACGAGCCGAACAGCCGAACACACACGGACGGCTGTTTTCGCTTGTATGCGTACCCCCACCATCTCGATGCACTCGGTGCTGGCCGGCTCGATCTTGCAACTATGCTCTGTGCTTTGCTGTTCAGGTTCAACATGCGTCGTGGTAGGATCGCACGTGTATCCACCACCATTTTCCTATCAGTAAATACAAAACTTCTAATTCTAGAAATCGATTCGTAATTTTAAAAATCGAGATCTCGAATAGAAACAAAATCACAACCAATAGTAATCGTCGTCTCAATTTTTTTTTTAATTTTTCACTACATGAATGCAGAACACGCGGCTAGAAAAAATAACCAATAATTTTGTTGCTTTTCTAAATCGTTTCAAATTCATCGTGTAAAATTTAAATGTGTCTCATAGTATAATTTAAAGAAAGAGAGAATGTATGTGTATAGTTATAAATTACGTTTATATTATAATGTATAAATAATGTGTAAATTATATAATATAAAAT